CGAGATGACGATGACTCGGGAAGTTCGGAGGATGCTTCGTCACGTGCGTCAAAGAAGCGGAAGAAGCGAAGGTCCCGTCCGCGGAAACACAGGAACAAGAGACAAAAGAAGAGGTATTCGCGGCGCAAGTCAAGACGATCGAGACGGCACTCTTTATCTATGGCTTCAGACGTAGAATCTGAAGTTACTGCTGAGAAATCGGACTCTGCTGCCTCCGTCAGCACGCATCTTGGCGAGGACAACTCGCCAGACGTCCCTTCCCAAGAAAGTGTACGGGCTCCCGAGCTGGACGTTAAACTATTTGCGAGTTGGGGAGAGCTGGAAAGCTATTTGAGCAGCTACAGCAGACGAACGTACCAGGTTTGTCATATTTACATATCAGACAGCGCCACAGGCTCAGGATTTGAGCCAATTCGAGAGTCTAACTAACGTTTTTTTCGTACTGTGTAGCTGTACTCCGTGCGTACTGCGACTTCAGTTACGACGCGGAACGACAGAATCAAAAAGAACCAAACATCGTGCAAAAGGATTCCCGAGGAATTGGAATTCTACAACAAAACGTTCGTGTGTACACACCACGGCAGTCCACGGCGCAGCAGAAGTGCTGGAAAGCGTCCCAAGCAGCACTCGAGAAAGATTGGTTGTCCAGCTCAGGTGGGGTTTGTTCTGTTTTATGCCGACGCCGAGGATTGTAACTCTGAAACGGTGCTTGTGATGCCTAGATTAATGCCTGTGTTAGGGATACAGGAGACTGGGAAATTTGCATTACGAAGCAGATCAACTTCGCATAACCATAATCTCAGCCCAGAGTCGTACGAGGGGTACCACGAGGCTCGACAAGTCTCTGACGAAGAAGTACTGTCAGCTGTGCGTACACTCCATCGAGCCGGGGCTGATAGAAAGAGGATCCTCGAATACATAACCGAGAATACGACCGTTGAACCGACGATGAAAGACGTCCACAACCTAGTTGCTAAGCTGAAGCGAGAGGCTTACAATCTGCCATCTCTGGAGGGGCGTATTAAATCCATTTTGGAGGATTTTTCTACCAATCCCGGGAATGTCGCTCGGGTCTTTTCAAACGAGGAAGTGAGAATGAGGTTAAATTTCTAATTACGCTTAGCTATTAATGGTTTGGGATCTGTGTCTTTGCAGGAAATAGTCGAGTGCATATGCATTCAGTCCGCACACATGCGGCAAATGTTTGGACACTTTCCGGAGGTGCTGATGATAGACGCTACACACGACACCAACTCATCAAACTATAAGCTGTTCAGTTTTATGATTCACGACGCTATGAAGAAGGGACAACATGTTCAGGTACAAAATCAAACGAATTCTCTGTAATTGCGACCCAGTCTTAGACTGTGCACAATTTTAATTTATTCACTGATACTTTTTATTGCCTATACACAGCACAGCTTACTGCAAAACAAGAGAAAGGAAACGTTGCGATTGGCGTGTGTTCAGTTCAAGGAGACGTGTCCGTCATATGATTCGCTAGCTGTCATTATCGTGGATAAGGACTTCACAGAGCTGGCTGTTCTGGAAGAGGAGTTTCCTGGCGTTCGTATTCTGCTGTGCCACTTTCACGTTGTTAAGTATCTACAAGAGGAGGTCGCCAAAGACAAGTACAACCTGGACGCGTACACGAAAAAGGAAATGAAACGATTGATACAGCTGCTGGTTAGTACACGGTCGGAAAGGAACTACGACGATGTAATCTTAACGATGAAAGTAGTATTGCGATCTGAAGCTAAAGTGCGTCTATGGTTCGACTATTTCGATCGGAATTGGACGAGCTGCAAGAATCAGTGGAGCTCTATCTATCGTGGGAACGTCCCGCACATGGGAAATCGTACCAACAATCGACTTGAGTCCAGCTGGCAGAAATTGAAAACGCTGGTGAATCGATCGACTGCGCTGGATGATTGCGTCGTCTCTGTCTTGTTTTGGCAAACTGTGAAGGAGAAAATGTGGCTGCGGGTTGTTAACAAAATTGGCGTGAACATGAATGCGCAATACGATGCGGAGATGAATGCTTTGTCAAACACTGTTTCGGATCACGCTGTACAACTGATTAAGCAACAGGACGACTTTGCTCTTCTATCCGCGACTAAATATCGCTATTATCCCATGGGCCCCTACATCATGATGCAGTACGCTGCTGATACTGAGGAGGACATTCAGGAAGAGTATCCACATGCGTGGACTTGCTCGTGTATTTTCCGCGTGACGAGGCTTCTTCCGTGTCGCCATATCATATACTATCGAAAGACAATTGGCTGCACCGATATCGTTCCTGAAAGCATTCTTCATCCGCGTTGGGTGGTTAAAAACTACAAACAGCTGAGAAAAGAAACGGCTGAACCCGTGGAGCTCCCTTACGAAGACAGAAAAATACCCAATCCATCGTGTGGACGTGCCAAGTCGCAGAACGAGAAGTTCAACGAGCTGCTACATATAGGCAAGCAGGTTGCTGACGTTGGAGCTACTTGGGGCACCACAGCGCACGAAAAATTGAAGCAGGAGTTACTGAAGGTTTTTGATGCTGTTCAGATCGGCCAGTGTCATCGTGTGACGTCAACCAGCCATCATCATGATAATACCGAGTTGGTGTCCACCGAAGATAATAGTTTTGAATCGACACCTGGATCACAGTTTGAAAACGTAGTACAGTCTGAGACTGTACTCGAACACATCAACATGTTTGAAGCCACTACTCGCGATTTGTCAAACCAAGACATCGAATTGCAGCAGCGCGAAGAGGAGGACGTCGTGTGCGTAGACCTGAACGAGCGCGCTGAGTCCCGGCGTGATGAAGAATCTCATTCCGAATCTCGGAGTGCTACACAGTCGGATACACGTGCACAACCTAAGACTGTACAATCCTCTACACAGGCGGACACGTCTACAAGTGAGCACGCTGAGGCTCCGTTGGATCCCGAAGAACCTCAGCCGCCTCCAGTCCCTTGGATGATTGCACCTTCCAAGAAAAGAGCAGGACAAGCTAAATCTGCCAGAAAAGCTCGCAAGGAAGCCAGCAGAGAATGTCTCAATCAGACGTCCATGTTGGTCGAAGCAGTGGCGGATGGACTATTACCTTCAATGGCCAAAGTGCAGGCCGCCCAAGACACAGTTTTTCGTTTCAAAGATCGCAGCGTTCTGAGGGGAATGACGGTGCTACGTCAGACACGCTCATGTAAAAATTTAAGTCGCTGAGAGGAGGAAAATGCCGTGCACAGATGCCACTACCATTCGATCTGTCCTCCCAACCAAAAGAATCGAGTCGTGCCAAGCCCAGATTGCTATTTTCCAGAATAGGTGGTTCAGCGATTTTGATCAAAGAATCCCTGCAGACGCCGTTTCAGTTAAAACGGGTGGAGTCATATACGACTCTCAAATGCTGAAGGCAATGAACTCGTGGCACTTAGCAGTTCAACGATTCAACGAGGTCCGAGAGATTATTAAGTGGATGCACAACGTAGACTTGACGGGGTGGAATCCCGATGATAGCTGGAGGAACGGTTTACTTTTGCCCGATGAATTGGAGAATCGTCTAGAGGATATCGATGTTTTTGGCGACTTTTTTTGGGTGACCACTCTACGCGGTCACTATTTAGTAGAACTATCGTGTACGGACCTGGCTCCAAAGTCGCTGATTAAACGCTATGGTGGAGACCATGACATTTTTGCTGTTCCGTCCTACTTGATAAGATATCCTGAGTTTGATCGAGAGGAAGTATCCCAATCAGAAGTTTGGCACCAGATTCGAGCTGCAGCGGAGCAGAAAAAGTTGTGGAGTGATGACGCTCCTAGTACTGTATACGACGATCGAGGAAAACCATTATGGCTATTTGCCGTGACCCTGTACCGAAATGAACACTGGTGTGCAGTAGCGGTAAATTTCAACGACCTCACGATCACTGTGCTTGACCCGCAACGCACTGGAGACAGATACGAGGCCCTTCGAAAGTATCTGTATGCCGACTTGGTGCCGCTGTTACCACAGCCCCCGTCCCCAAAGCGGTACAGGTTCAAGCAACTCGAATGGATGACGCAGGTCGATTCCTACAACTGTGGCGTCTTCGTGATCATGTTTTTCGAGATGCTTCTGCTAGACGTCGCTGTAGTGGGGTCCGAATCGGCGTCAGAATCTACCATAGCGATGCAGTACTTTCGATACCGTTTCATAGCCATATATTAAGCTCAATGTAAGCTCAGGTTCCACATTAGTGTAATTGCTGCTAAGTCTAAATACTGTGATTTTAAGCTGGCCGTGTACGTACTTCGTGAAAATCACCGTGTTGGAGATCTGTGTTGTATTTGCCTAAGTCTTTGCCAATTTGACGAGATCGAGTTTTTTTTAGGCACGGGCTCGCGCCTTTCTGGTCGTGCAGTACGCTCTATTGCACTGTCCTCGTCGTCTATGAAGAGAAACGTGAGTGCCGGCTGGCAAAGAGCTTCGTCTCTGGAGTGAATTCTGACGTTCACATGGTTGTGCTATCCAACACATGGTGAGGCTATACACCAGAAAGGACACCGGACTGTGTAAGACTGTGCGTGATTCTGTAAGACTCTGCACAAAATGCTGACTCATCGCCTCCAGACTGTGTACGTAGGCTCTCTCCGACTACTGTATCGGACTTGAGTCAACTATTGTGACGAGGAAGCTGTTGGCAGCCAGCAGCTTCCTCGTCACAATAGCCAGCCTGGCTGGAGGGCGTCGATCACGGATAATGCACTGGCCGCAATGAAGCGCTTATCAAGAAAATCTTCAGATTTTGTAATACGGCGCAAGGAGTCTCGTCGAGTTGCCTGCTACACAGTCGCTATCAGCGAGCTTCCATCTACTTCTGAAGTATTCTATTAGTACGGTGTGTTTCTGAGCGATCGACGGTCCGTGAGAGGGATCGCGGATCGTATAGTAGTGGGACTCAGTTAGATTAATCGAGCCATGACGTGGGCCTGTAGGACGTGCGAGCTCGCGACCAATGAGAATGACGAGAAGGCATGAGCGGTATGTGGCTCAGAGAGAGGAACAGATCGAGTCGGCGCCAGGAGGAGACGGTGACACATGCCCCATGATCGTGATCGTCGAGCTACCTGCCAAGGAGAAGCTGGGGGTGCAACTTGTGCCGTCCAAAAACGGCGTGATTGATCACGGTACACCATCTATAATCCAGAGCTGAAGAACAAGGTGCAGGCTGGAGATCTTTCCCTCTCTTTCGGAGGACTGAGCGTAGACGGCATGGTCTTCTCCGACGCTATTGATCCGGAAGATGCCTTGACCTATTTCCTTCGAGATCGACGAAGTCCGACGTCAGCGAGTTGTGCGCGAGAAGTTCCAGCAGAATAAAGATGATGATCTGGACAAGGGGATCACCACGTACGCTGAGGTTTTCGGCAATGGACCTATGGGATTGAGCCTGGGAAGAAGCAGTGCGATACGATATTGACGGTGCCGTGGTTCGTGCACTGAAGGGTCAAGCCGAGACAAGCCGTATGACATCTGTCGGTGATTTCTTGTACAAGGTGAACGAGACAGACGTACATCGTGTCATTGCCCAGCAGCTTCCACACCGTGTGGAGAGCAGAGTTAAATGAAATGCTTGGTGTCGACTCTCGTCGGCAACATCCTCAGCTTCTTGAATACGGAAGCTGCTTGCCACGCAATTCTGATTGGGTCAATGGGCATGGATGCCATTGAAGTGTTAGTGGAACAAGGAGCTGTTATAAATGTGTAGTCAAAGGGGTAAACGCCCTAATGCTTTCCAGCTTGTTCGGGCGAGTTCGAGCCGTCAAAGGTCGAATTGACAGTGGAGCGGACGTCAACTTGAACGATAAAACAGCGGAGATGGTTGCAGCGGGGAAGGCGCAAACGAATATTGTGAGTGTTCTCCTCGACAACGGAGCTGACATTTATGCCAAGTCTTATGATGGCAAAACAGCGCTGATGTTGGCATCTTGTCTTGGACATACTGCCACGGAAGCGAAGCTGTTAAAATCCGGAGCTGCTGATACAGTGGATTCCCAGGGATGGACGCCATTGATCGGTGCTGCTAAAGGCGGACACGTGCGTGTAATGCGGTTGCTACTTGAGAAAGACAGTCACGACATCAATATCGTCGAGAACTCAGCGTTACTTTACGCGTCATTCGTGGACGCCGCATGGCTTCTCCTGAAGTATAAGGTGTCAGAGGACAAACAAAACCGCTTTGGTTGGACCCCGCTAGCAGCAGCCGCTCAGCTTGCAAATGGCAGAACCTCTCGTTAAACGCCATGATGACGCTGATGGGAAGCTGCTTGATGGACGTTCGCCACTCTACCTTGCCGCGGAGGGGGGCGTGTCATATATTACGGACTTTAGTGGATTGCACAGATAAGGCAAAACGGACACCGTTGATTAGAGTAGCATTCAATGGTGAAGAGGAATGTGTTCGTCTTCTTCTCGAGAACGTGTATTTGTTCGACCCCCAGGGCGCCGAGCAGCAGATATTGCAAGATAAAACAATCGGTACGACATCGCTACCTTAATCGAGACTCAAATACCAGAGCAGTCGGTAGGGTGTTCGACAGAACGCAGATTTGTTGATTGACGAGCGTGAAATTCGACGAAACTGGGAGGCATTTGTGGGTGAAGCTCCGGTAAAGTATACAAAGGAACCTGGCTTGATGCTGACGTTGTCATCAAGCGCGTAAAAGCCTTCTCAGAGGATGACAAGAAGTCGTTCTGGCACGAGGCTCGCATCTGGAAAAGGCGAAGCACCCAAACACCGTTTCATTCTTCGGCGCCTATTTTCGTGGGCCGAACTATTTCTTTGCTTGCAAGGAAGCTACTAAATGAGGCCTGCTTTTTCTTCACCAGCGCAATATCATTCATAGCGACCTAAAGTGCAACCAGATTCTCGTTGGAGAAAATGGCGAAGCGATGCTGACGGATTGAGCTATATTTCGGATGAGTCGAGACCGAGGGGTGGTGTCCAGGGAGATGTGCGCTGGAAAGCACGTACTTAAACCCCCAGCGAACCAACCAAAGAGGCAGATGTGTATTCTTTTGGAATGTGTGTGGTTGAGTCGGTGACAAGACGGAAAGCCGTGGAGCAACTTGCAAGATTTGGCTGTCATGCATCACTTACAGAACGAAACGTTTCTAAAGCAATCCTGGGAGTTTTCTGATGCTCAGTGGGTGCTTGAAAAGTGTTTGTGTGCTTTTGATCCACAACGACGTTTGACGCTGCGGTAAAAGAGTTGAAAACTTCGCCCGCCACGAAAAGAAGAAAGTCGGGCAAGAGACTTCTGTTACCTTCGAATGACAACCTGAGTCGGAGGACAGCAATTTTTCAGATTCAGATTAAGCCGTCCGCCGCTCTACGTTTCGAGCTGCAAAAGATTTATCCACCCTTTACTTTTGTCTTCATTTACGACTCAAACACCACTTTTTCATCCAGCAGGCGGTCGATCTCCTGTTTGGAGCGACCGAGAACATCCTTTAATATTTGACGTGTGTCTTGCCCCAATTTACGTCCAGCGAATTGCGTGACACCCGGTGTGTCCTTCAACTTCGGCAAAATCGCAGGCACCTTGAGCTTCCTCGTGCCATCTCCATCCGGAATCGTCACTTCCTCAAACATGCCACGTTGCTGGTACTGCGGGTCTTTCACCATATCTTCCACAGAGTACACGAGACCCACAGGCACAGCAGCTTTCTCCATCACTGACACTACCGTGTCAATATCCTGAGTAGCAGTCCACGCAGCCAACGCAGCGTCAATCTCAGCTTGGTGCTCGACACGATCACCGTTCGTGCGGTACTTGCTGTCCGACGCCATGTCCTCACGACCGATAGCGTTCATGAGTCTTACGAACAACGAGTCGATATTGGCCGCAAGAACGACGTTCTTCTTGTCCTTAGTGACGTACGTGTTGGAAGGCACGATACCCGTGATTGTAGACCCCGAACATTCCCGGACGGAGCCGGAATAGTCATATTCAGGGACCACCGCCTCCATCAGATTGAACATGGACTCATAGATAGCCACGTCCACCACTTGTCCTTTGCTGCTCAGTCCACCTCTCTCACGACCGAGAAGAGCGATGACGATTCCAAGTGCAGCATGGATACCAGCTATGGTATCTCCAATACTGAGGTTCGGACGAACTGGCGGACGATCCGGAAAGCCGTTCACATAACGGAACCCACCCATGGCTTCACACACCGACGCAAAACCCGGTCTAGAGGAGTACGGTCCATCCTGTCCGAAGCCTGACACCCGAGTGTACACGAGTTTCGGATTGGTTTTCTCAAAATTGTCAGGTCCAAGTCCCCACTTCTCCATGCGACCAGGTCTGAAGTTCTCAATGAGCACGTCACTCTGTTCAATTAGCTCTTTGATCAACGTCCGACCTTCTTCCTTCTTCATGTCGATAGCCACGGATCGCTTGTTGCGTCCGAGGGAATACCACCACAGAGACGTCTTGGTTGAGTCGAGTTCGCGGTAGTCGCGCACCTGATCACCCGTAGGGGGTTCTACTTTGATCACGTCGGCGCCAAAGTAGCTCAGAATTGTTCCAGCGAAAGGCCCAGCGATGAGGTGGCCACACTCCACGACTCGGATACCTTTAAGAGGTAGAGGACGGTCGATGTTTGTCGATGCTCCAGGAGTGATAGTCGTCACGGAGCGACTTACATGACTTCGCACGAAGCGGGTGCGTCCAACAGTCAGCAAAGAAGCTCGTGGCAATGACGAAAGCATTGATAAATGCATGGGAACGTAAGAGAGTGAGACGATATTCGATGCAAGGGGGAAACTGAAGTGATCGCTTCGCAATCGTGTTTTACTAGTCACTATTCTGAACTTCAACTGTGAGTTTGTGTCACTGACACGAGGGAATGACCTTCATGGCAAGATTGCTGGAGCCTGGAGAGCGTAGTAGCTGTGCGGACAATTGGAGAGAGTAGCAAGTTAATATGCACAGTGATAGCTGGGAAAGTATCGTATGTGTATGTGTTTGAATTTGAGCTCTACCTGATGTTAGCTGCGTCTGTGAGGCACAGGAGCGTTCGCTTGGTAATTGTTGATACGCCGCGGGGTTCATTGACGTCAGCGCATTGCTGCAGCTCTTGAAGCCTGTCAAAATGATACATCCAGTTAGCATCATGTAGTGATAGTGCATTAAAGGTGAAATTGCACCTCTTTACGCTGAGTGTTGGGGGCGCGCGAGAGGAGACGGCGGAGAGTATTAAGAAGCAGCTCCACGTTGGCTGCTCGACGTTATTGGCAAATTTCCTTGCTATCCGCTTACGTTTGCGGTCAATACGCTCTTCTTGAAGACTCGTGGTCAGCGCATAGCCGTAGATCACGTCGACAGTTTCGTCGGAGGCGGTCGAGATGCGAGCGCCACTCACAACTTGCCACTCACTGAGGCCACGCTCGACCACGAGATCATTTAGAACCTGCCGACACGAGTTTTTAATTTCCCCATGTTCAATGAAGACGGCTTGAGTCAAATAACTGTGCTAACCTCTTGCGTTCCGGGTGCAAAACGAGAAATATCCATTTGCCGCAAATTATCAACTGTTTATTCAGCAGACTTAAAAATATCGATTAAGCTGCCATTAAAACTGAAATTTGCCGGCCAATTTATTTTTCCGGACTTTTGCCACGGTCTCAAATGATTTTCTTTTCGCGATAAAGCTCGAACAGCGGTTTATGCTGCATCTCGCCGACCACGAAGGACAAAGTCGCGTTCTTATAGTGGTCGCCGTTGACAGACAAATTGTAGATCACATCGTCCAGCAACACGGCTTTGCCTGAGAACGTTCCTGTGTGAATGATACGAGAGAATGAGCCTCCTTATAAATGAATGCGTCGGATTTACAGTAATGACTCACCAAAGATCATCTTGACGTGAGAGAAATGCACGTGCAGATGGTAGTATGTTGGTTGATAGTGAAAATACATGCGCACCGAGCTTGGTTCGACTCCAAATTTCGAGCTCAACACCTGCAGACTTGCCTTCCTATTGCATAGCAACATCTCTAGTTTACAGAATGCCAATTCATAAGCAAGACATGAAAAAACATACCGAACGTTTTGCAACAGTTTCAAGTGTGAGCCCGTGAGATCACGAAGCGATCGGAGTGATCGATCGTGCACGATGGCCAAGCAGTAAAGCGATTCCAACTGAAACAAAGCCACACAGTGTTAGAGCACTACTAACGTTACCTACTGTCACTCACAAGAAACACGTACGTTGGAAGGATCCGACCACTTGAAGTCAGGCAGCAAAATGAATCCATCTCGCGGACTCATATCTTCATAGATGACACGCTCCGTCTCGCTTTTGCTGAAAATCAACGAGCAAGCAGTTGGAAAATTCCATCAAATATCTACAGTTTCAATCGGTCAAATTGTACTTACTGATCCAGAATATTGTAAACCCACTCGATGTTCTCTGCAGGGATGCTAACGATGAACGGCTTCGTGATCGTCTGATACGTTTCCTTGGTCTCCACAACCATGTGAAAGTTCTGGTCCGTGTGCTTTTGCACGTGACGCTTCGTCGCAGGATATATTAAATTCACCTGGCCAAAAAAACAATTATGTTTTTGTTGCTGTTTACAAGTATTAGTACAGCCTTTTCCGTACCTTAAACGGCTTGACATTGCGAGAGACGTCTCCCTGGAACGAGCTGTAGATGTCGTTCACCAGAATCTCATGCAGTGACATTCCAGTCAGCAGCTGATCCAAAGCCCCCGCGTCCATGGCCGCTGTCTGGATGATCACTACGGCCGCCTTCTTCAGCTTGTCGCTCTTAAACTCACCCAACAGTGCCAACTCAGTGTCGGTACGTTTCAGCACACGGACAAGGTTGAAATTGCGGAGCATCTTCGTGGTCCCAAGACCCGCCATGGACATTCGCCAGAACCACAACCCACTCAGCAGCATCGCGGCCAGTGCAAAGATGAACTCCACCGACCACAACACTTGAAGAATCTCCATTGTCGATCCTAGATCTCCGATTAAAGAATGATACTTCATGGCTGGTTTAAACGTAAGCCGTATTGGATGAAAGATGGAAAATGACAGCTTCAACTTGTTTTTTTAACTGTTAAAACAAGATTTTGAACAGAAATATCGTTAAAATTGCAGATATTTTTCCTACAGCAAGTAGGTGGCGGCATCGTCTACAATGCGAGCCACCTCGTCGACGTGTTTTTGAATGGTATCAGCATCATCATTGAACGCGATGGCGTCCGAAATGCCCGGGAACGCTGCTCCAGCATAGCCCTCATAGAACCCAGGACCAAAAATGACGTGCTTGTACCATGGACGATGAGGTAAACCCTCGTTAGTAATCAAATGGCGTTCCAACAACACCAGCTTGTCATTCCACAAGCGGAGAGCATCGGAACTAGCAGCGAGGGTCTCGTTCGACACGAATGCAGCGAGCCCAGCGTGGAAAGTGGTAGCGCTACTTGTGAACCGCGCGATAGCCTTGTGCAAGTCACTGAAGTCCACTCCTAGTCCAGCAACTTGTTGTTCAAGGCCAGCCAAATCCTCAGTCATCACAAACCCATACGTAGTGAAGTCGAAGGGTAAAATCTGATCGTCAGCAAGACGTAAGCCCAGTAGCCCCCACCACTGTGCAGTCGTGATGTGAGTAGCGTAGTTGGGGTCAGCATACAACTCCGAATATCTGATGCTATCCATGGAGCTGTGGTAAACTCCGTACGGAGCACGTGCCAATGAGAAGCCCAGGTTTGCTGAAATGATACCGAGATGCTGATAGAACGCTGTGTAGTCTGAGCCAGAACCCATGAAGTTGATCAAGTGAGCAGGGCCAAGTGTTCCGTCGCTAGCTCCGTTAAGATGCTCACGGTGAGCTGCTGCTTGCTTGACCCATTGCTCGTACAGCGTTTTCTCGGTTTCGTTTCCGAGAAACTTGTTGGCTGGTACGTTCTTCGCTGTTTGATAGAGAAACTCAGCAATGGCTGGGCTGGCACTGGCACTGACTAACGGACCCATAATGGAGTCCACGTTGAGGTACGCAACAGCTTGGTTCCTAAAGCGCTCAGCATTGTCCTCAGCATATTCTGTACTGCCCAAGAGTCCATACTCTTCACCGTCCCATGACCCGATAATCAGCGTACGTCGGGGCTTCCAACCTTGTTTTAGGAGCTCACCATAGCCACGAGCAATTTCTAGAAGAGTAGAAGAGCCGCTGTTGGGGTCAATTGCACCGCAGACCCACGCATCGCGATGGTTACCCAGGAGAACGAGTTTGTCTGGTTCTTCGGAGCCCTCAATCGTTCCAATAACATCCCAGATAGGTCCGATCTTGTTGTCAATTTCAATGTCCAAGTTGACGACAGTTGCCTCGTCGTCACCGATACGATAGCCACTAGGCAGCGAGAGACCTCCTTGCCATGTTTCAGGCGCTTCCTTGCCTCCTAGAGACTGTAGAATATATTGCGCTTGACCGTACGACAATGGCAACGCTGGAATGTGCGGAATAGTATCTACCTTTTCGTATTGGATGTGGAAGCTACCTTCGGTAGAGGCCCAACCGGGTGTTGTCGGGTCACCAGCAGCCATCGATAGGTATGTGAGTGAACCTCGTTGAAATGAACCCTCAGGACGCCACGGACCATTCGGATACACAAGGCCCTGTACAAACCCGTCCTCCTTAGGGTCCGAATAGATCAACACGCCAACCATACCGTGTTGTTCGGCTGCCATAGCCTTCAGACCGCGGAAGTTGCCACCGTATCGGGCCAGGGCGATCTTCCCTTCAAGCGAGACGTTATTGGCTTTAAGCCACTCGAAGTCTGCTGGCTTCCCGAAGTTCACAAACACGATCGAAGATGTGACGTTGCCAGTTGCAGCGTATGCCACAAAAGGTGGCAACGCACTATCGTCGTTGGTGCATGTGTCGCCGTGAATCGAAACTTCAGTCAGGTTCAGCTCACGCGCGGCTTCAGCAGGCTGCACAATCTCCAAGTGTCGACGTACTGGAGTCGATAAGAGCGTATAGTATTCTTTGATTTCGGCTTTGATACCGAATGATTCCAGCATCTTGGCAGTGAATAATGCGGTCTTGTAGTCCTGCTCAGTACCACAGCTGTGTGGGACGCTTGAGTATGTGTGCAGGTACTCGCGAATATTACGAGCATTCACGTTGTCGACAAACTGTTGATGAAAATCAGGGACCGAGATTTCGGTTGCGTTCGCGATCGACGCTTCCTGCTCTTGAATTTTAACTTTAGTGACGACCGAGCTTGGGTTCGACTTGGCTACGTATCCTGCAGCCAGCAGGACCAGGCCAGTGATGGCCACAACGCGTAGCAATACTCCCGTTCTGGAGCCGGAGCGATCGTTGGACACTGACGACTGGCGACGACCGTCGAAAGTGCCGTAGATGTCATCGTCGTCCACGGGCTTTGCGAGCACAGGGCCGCGATGCTTCTTAGCTGATGGAAAGGGGACCATGGCCAAAGATGGAGTGGCGGTGATTCCTAAGTGCTGTTCTCTGCTGGAGGGAACAAAGTCTCAGTTTTGCGAATCAAGGTGATGAGTGTGCAACTGGAACCGAAGCGGTGCGAACTGGAGCGGTGATTGGATGAAAATGGTTTGTTGGACGCTTTAACGCTAGTGATTGGCGGAGTGAGGGCTTCAACTGACTTCAACAAAGACAACGTCGATCTCGTCTGTCTTCCACTCCTGCATGTGCCTACAAGTCTTGTCACAAGATGGCATGTAGTCTGAGCAGTTCTTAATCACCAAGATACTCAGCAGCCTTGCAGCTGGATCGCAAGAGTGCTTTTTACTACTTCAGTAAACACCCTGTTCAGCACTGTACCGTACCGGTACCAGCAAGTGACATTCGGAACGAGGCCAGTCGGTTCTACTCTGGATACGCTTTCATTCCCGCGGCTGCACAGTAGCTATGACAAGAGCTATTCTTGCCGGTATGCTTAATGATTTCAAGCAAAGGATTGTCAAGTATTCGTCCCCACACAAAGAATAATCTGCTCGCTAGGAGCAGATATCGTACTGTACCATGCATCAACCAAATGTTACGAAGTCGCGGTGAGTAGCAACACTTAATCCTCGGCAAGCGAATCAGGCAAAATGCAGTGGATGTAAATTGAGTTGAATAATCAACGTTTTCAAGATGAACTTGTGACCTACTCTACATGCCAGACACCACTCACGGCATGGCGGCCTCTGGGCCCGGAGACGTCTGGAAAGTTGGCGAGATATGGTCCCAGATCTTGCGAAGATCCATGTAGTTGTCCTCAACGAAGCAACGGCCCTCACGCTCGACTACGTCGCCATTGGCGTCCACAAAAATGAGCGTCGGGATCGTCTTCACATCGTAGCGTTTCCACAGGTCTTGCACGACCTCTCGCCGGTGGAACGGAACAGCCAGGAACGGTGTCTGCAGGAGCGAGTCGTGGAAGGCCACGGGACTGCGGTCAATCGAGAGCAGCACCACGTCCAGCTGGTCCTTCATGGGCAGCGACTTGTATGCGTTCAGCGTCATGTTGCGATGGACAGTCGCCAGTACGGGCGTGAAAGCTCGGCACGGACGGCACGTACTGGCCGTGAAATACAGCCCCACCACTGTCTTGTGCGCCAGCGCCTCCTCGGTGGACGTCTCGCCTCGCCTCGACACCAGCGTGCTGCCCAAAAGCTTCTCTAGGAGCGTCATTTTCGGTGGCTTGCCAGTTTTTCTTCTCTTCTCGAGGATTTGAGGGGTTCAGAGCAAGTTCTCCAGCAAGAGCCACCCGACCGTTGTTTTCCGGCGATGGAGGCTGTTCGTTCCACCGATGCACTTAGACTTAACTTTTGTATGCTTGTGAGATGGGCAACTTGACGTTACATGCGGACGAATGGACTTTATTATCAAGCAGTCGCAGTTTACTTCATGTACACTCCTGGGGGCACCTACACGGCACGATCCCATGAGGGTGGCGTCAGGAGTGCACGGAGCTGGTGCTGCGACGCGCAGTTTGCGCGTGCGGAAAGTCTAGCTACGAGGTTAAATGATATGCTTCTCGCGGAAGAGCTCGAACAGCTGCTTGTGTTGCATCTCGCCGACTACAAATGAAAGTGTTGCGTTCTTGTAATGGTCGCTGTTGACCGACAAGTTGTAGATCACGTCTTCAAGCAGCACCGCCTTGCCAGAGAACGTTCCTGCTCACAATTATCGCAAATTAGTGCCAGTCTTCTACCGAATGATGCAAGTACCTGATGAAGCATACCTTGATTCATCTTGACGTGCGAGAAGTGCACGTGCAAGTGATAGTAAGTTGGCTGATAGTGTAAGTACATGCGTATGGAGCTAGGGTCCACGCCGAACTTTACGTTCAGAACTTCAAGGCTAGCGTTCCTGGAGAAGACAAGATTATACGTGAGGCTTTTGGCGAGATCAGGGTATAAGGAAGCAGCTGTAACTGGTACCGGATGCTCCTTAATAATTTCAAATGCGAGCCAGTAAGGTCACGAAGCGATCGCAGCGATCGATCGTGTACAATGGCCAAGCAGTAGAGCGACTCCAGCTGCAAGCAGAACAGAGAGCCCAGTCAGCACCCTCATAGAAATATCAGATCCAATGAGTAGGATTACCTTTGACGGGTCTGACCACTTAAAATCGGGCAGCAGAACGAATCCGTTGCGGTGGTGCGTGTCTTCGTATATGATCCGCTCTGTCTCGCTCTTGCTGCGATAAGCAACACGTAACCATGTCTCCCAACTGCGTCTACAACATACAGCTGCACTTACTGGTCCAAGATGTTATAGACCCACTCAATATTCTCCACAGGGATGTTATCAATGAACGGCTTTGTGATCTTTCGATACGCCTCCTTGGTCTCCACCACCATGTGAAAGTTCTGGTCCGTGTGCTTGCGCACGTGACGCTCCGTCGCCGGGTAGATCAAATTAACCTGGGCGAATCCATACAAAGCAAGTGGTTACGCCGTCAGCACATGGTCCACGTTCTAATGCCGTCTCTCCTCCCTCACCTTGTAAGGTTTGACGTCGCGCGATACATCTCCATGAAATGTGCTGTAGATATCGTTTATCAGGATCTCATGTAACGACATTCCCGTCAGCAGCCGATCCAGAGTCCCCGTATCCATTGCAGCAGTCTGGATAATTAGCACTGCTGCTTTCTTGTGGTTGTCGCTTTTGAAATTGCCCAAAAGTGCCAACTCCGTGTCCGTGCGCTTGAGCACCCGCACGAGATTAAAGTCGCGAAGCATCTTCGTGGCACCGACATCGCCCACAGCTTGTTGCCAAAGATAAAGCGCTCCGAGCACAGCTACTACCACAGCAATGCCGACACCGAGGCGCTCGACTTGGCCAACCAGATCCAACAACACCATGGCTCCGGACTTCCGAATCAATTGTAGCGGAAGTTCCGATACAATTTGATTGGGATGACGCTGGCAGTGTCAGATCGGCTTCTGATTGGATGTTTCTAAACGCTGAGAATTTCTGAGCGTAAAAACGAATAAAGAAGAGAACACAACATGACCACACCAGGAAATAAGCCTATGTATCCGCAGCTTCTGCGGGCCCAGGAGGCTCCAATGAACATTCATGTGTAGTATATACACGAGGTGGCTACTGTATTTGCAGTATCTAACGCTTAATGGTTGATGCTAGAATGATACGTCGCGTGACGAGGAGGTGGCACGCCAGCTACAGGCCCAGTACGACCAAGGAAGCCAAGCGGTGGCACTAGCGCAGCCTGTTTTCCAGGCTGAGATGCCATACAAGTGCGGCAACTGCGGCACAACACACGTGGTGCGCAATGCCACGCATGGGTCGATGTTCCAGTGCACTGCTTGTGGCGCGCAGAACCAGATTCTACTGGAACGCCATCGCCCCATGGTCGTAGTGTAAGTTGCTGCTGTAGAATGGCAATTGCAAGACTGTATGTGTTGTGAGAAGAAGGCTAATGCACTGGTGTGTGGACGTGTTCTCGACAGCAGAGGCCGCTCGTACAGCTTTCTACCAATCCCAATCATCTGCAACATCATGTAGTCGCGCTGAGAAAGTGGATTAAGCTCCACGATTACAAGCTGAACCGTCAATGCAAGACAACCTGCGTTCGGATAGGAATTACACCGACGACACTACATCGGACTGCAGCAGATAGTAACACTTTTAAACCGTTTATTTACATCGAATTTTATTTAATTGCTACAATCTCGTGCTTGTATTGTGGGGACTCTGCTGCATGCCCCGCGCTTGCTATCAAGCGCGTTGCATTGCGCATTTTGCGCGCAAGTTGAAGCAATTTGCCGTCACCCGTCAAACACGGTATCAGATTTGGCACCGCAACAATTATACGCCCTCACACATACAAAGTCGAAGAGAAGTTAAAGTGAACATGGCGGACGAGGCTCAGATCGCAGCGGGCGTACAGGCCCGCGCTACGCAAGTACAGGGACTACTAGCGCAGCGCAAGAACGAGGAGGCAGTGCGCGCGGCGCTGGAGGACCCGCCGCTACAGTCCAAGAACGACGCGATGAAGGACGAGAATGCGAAGGTGGTGATGGCGGCACTTGTTGCCTGCAACAAAGGCGAGATGCAGCGCACTATCGATTCACTTCCCAGTCAGCTGGAGGACAACCTAATGAAGTACATTATGCGTTTTTTGGGCATCGCGTCGCAGAGCGCTGCTATGCTTGACTGGCACCAGAAGCTGGTGGCCAAAGCCGGATCTGGCTGCGTCATGCGCGCCTTCACGGAGCGGAAGCTGGTCTGAGCAGCTACAGATGCGTAAAAGACAGCAGATACGTATGTCAATGAACATACCAAAATTTTCACTTGTTGCTTCGGGGGATTGTATTACTTTTAGTTAAAGGCGTTTATGATTAGAGGAGAGGAGCGATTTCACCGGGGTCTGCAACTTCTGCTACAAATGCCTTGATCAGCTGCATTGTCGGGTTGGAATCAGGATCATTGTTAGCTAGATGCTCGACGATAGTAAAGTGATTGCAATTGGGAATGCTGTGGCGCTGGATTGAGGTCTGTAGTATGAACGCAGCATTTCTTAGCAACTTGGAAACCAAAAGGTGGTAGTCCTATGAAAACGTACATTTCCCGCAGCAGTTAGCCACCGTTCGAGCTCCTGTGCGTCTTCCTGAAAGTGGAAATCTTCTTGAGCATTTATGAGCAGTAGAGGCAGCTTGGTGAGTGGTGAGGTAGCCCCGACTCTGGTGGCTGTCATTCCTATCGAAGCCTCTCTCCACTGCTCGACGCGTTCACCAAACGGAGGATTCGTTACGAGAGTTCCGTAGAACGACGTGTTGGCAAGACGTACGATGTTATACACGCCCGAGATACCCACAGCTCCCTTGACAAAGGTGTCAACTGGTTGCTCCATCCCTGCTGCTCTCAGGTATTGCGGATCGGCCAAGATCTGCATGATCAAATGTGCACCAGCACTGTGACCTACTAGCACCAACTTGTTCGGATCACCACCAAACTGCCAACGGGTGAACAGTGCGTTAGTTAATGAAGAATCCGCCTTAGATCAGCTGGATATCAATCACCTTGGCAATGTTCTGGTGTAACCACGTCACTGCAGCAGCCACGTCCTTGGCATGTTCAGGATGCTGCACTTCTGGCGATAATCGATAATTTACCGAGACGCCCAGGCAGCCCGCGTGTACAAAAGCCTCGTCAATGTCTTGATTTAGCCCTCCGCTCTTGTCTCCACGTTGCCATGACCCGCCGTGTACAAACACACAAGTCGGCAACTTGGCACGTGGTGGAATCCTCCGTGGGATGGCAATGTCTAAAACTTGTAGCACATGTGGACACTCGGTAACATAAGGCAGCTCCTTCCAGCTATAAGCGCCCAGCGAAGGCAGCGTCCGGCGCAGCATCGACAGAAATTGCCAATCTGATCCCAACGAAATTATTGTACACTGTCATTGACGATTCGTCAATGACGAAACTTGCAATTCTCAATAGCTGTTTTTAATTTACAAATAAAATCATTTCTATGTTTTTAACGAGACGGTTCTAAATAAATTCGCTTTTTTTAATTTTTACATTTCGGATCCAAATTTTGTAAATTAAAAACGTTTTTAATTATTACGGCATGGTACAAAAAACTTCGTAAAATTCAATTGCAGGCAGGACATGGCGGCGCGAGCGAACGTAAGTGTCTCTGGAGGCGATAGCTGTTGCGAGTACAGCCTGAAGCCACACCATTAATCGCTTGTATATTACGGCCAACAGTACCGGGCCTCTGTTCAGTTCCCGAACGCACACAGCGACGGCATTTGGAGCACATTTTGGACGTCCAATGACAAGATTTTGACTGGATCCGTGGACGAAGTTGCCAAGTCCTGGTGCGTCCTCAGTACTGACCAAATGTAAAAAGGAATTTCCTGACCATTTTCACTGCTGCGATAGGGATGTGACGGAGGATGGCGTGTCCATTTCGCAGCAGTATCCAGGTCACGTGCTGGGCACGATCTCCATCGTAGGAAACAAGGCGGGCACACACGCTGTCACCAGCTCTTTGGACTGCCAGATTCGCGTGCTTAATCTCGCGTCGGGTGCCGTGGAGAAGACCATCGATGCTGGTCCCGGTGAACTCTGGCAAGTGGCCTACAGCCCGGATGAGACCCAGCTCGTATCAGGTAGCCAGCAGGGCAAGGTCAATTTCTTTGACCTCAAGGCGGAGAAGATCGTGCAGGAAATCGCAACTTCGGCCAAATTTGTGCTTAGCGTCGCTTACGTACGTTATACTAGTGGATTTGGCGTGAATGGCAACAGATGCTAACTCGTTGGAACGACACGGCAGTCCCCAGACGGTAAACATGTTGCATGCGGTGGATTCGACGGCTTTGTCGGGGTCTACGACGTCGAGACCGGAACTTTGGTCCACAAGTACGAAGGTATAAAGCGATGATATGCGATCGGGGTGTTGAACGAAGAAGTTCATGTTGTGTATGGTACTTTGTAGACCGTACGAAGCCTGTGCGCTCAGTGGCATACTCGCCTGATGGAAAGCTGTTTGCTGCGTCGGATGACATGCACATCAATGTCTATGATGTGTACGTCAAGTGTAATTTGGGGCGCTTTTGCTTGATTTGCACTAATATTCATGCTATGTAGGGCCCACGACAATGCTGTTGCCACTCTGTCCGGTCACGTCTCATGGGTGTTGAGCGTTGCCTGCTCGCCTGATGGCACACAGTTTGCTACGGGGTACGTTGCTGAGCTTTACCAACTTGGTTTTAATATCCGTCCTTTGAATTAATAGAGTGGCTGTGTCTATTTGCTGTCGATAACAGTGGAGCAGACCGCCGTGTGAAGATTTGGGATCTTGGCACACGACGTTGCTTGACGACTTTCGATACGCACACGGACCAGGTAAATGAATTCATTTTATTGATTTATTGCAAGATCTGGACTCACTAGATCCTATTTGTTAGGTGTGGAGCGTTGCGTACAACTCGACCGGATCGCGACTAGTGTCGGGTGGCGATGACGCGCTTTTGCAAGTGTACGAGACGGCTAAGTCTCCTCCATTATAGTCTGGAGAATCAATAACACATTGACAGTCGGACGAGCACGTTGCTGTCTCTTGATCTGGTAGAATGAACATTCAATTGGATGACTGGGGCTGGGTAACGTCCGATGCGCTGTCGAGGGATTCTGGTTCTTGGGATAACCATGATAGACTCAGGATTTCTGCCAATGTGATTCGTTCCTTTGGATTCTTGGCGAGCATTCTGGCAGTGAGAGATTGTAGTCGTGGGGAAACATGTTGCCATATCTTCTCTTCGAAATTAATATCTCCGATCATATTGCGCGCCAGGAGCTGGTACGGGTCTGAACTAGAAAATGGAATCGATCCCGACAGCATGAGATACAAGACGATGCCAGCACCGTACACGTCAGCTTCCGGTCCACAGGAACCGTCAAAGCGTTCGGGAGCCATGCAGCCATAAGTTCCCGCGTTTGCTATCTTCTCGGTAATGTTGCAAGTGTCAATGTTCACGCCACTTCCGAAATCCACAAGTTTTAAGTTGCTAAAGTTGCCGTTGGGTGCATCATCGAACAGAATGTTGCTGGCTTTGACATCCAAGTGCAACACTTGGTTTTCGTGAAGTAGTTGCAACGCTCGGCATAGAGAAACCAAGATATTGCAAGCCATTGCTTCGCGTAGAGGTCCACGGTCATGGATTCTGTCGGCCAATGAACCACCAGCGTAATATTTCATGACGACAGTGACGCATCTAGTCTTGGTGTCTTCGAACAAGTAGAAATACTGCGGCAAACACTGCTCCAGTTCGGGGTGCTCTCGACTCAACTGCATGATGCGAGCAGTCACATTGAGTTCACTGTGGCCGTGAGATCGATGAACACGTTTGAGCACAAATTGCTTCTTCGGGTCGTCGCAGTCGTGACAGTGGTAGACTGCTGAGTTGGGAGTCTTAGCCATACTCTCGTGGATCGACAAGCTCTGCAGTAGCACAGCAAGGGACACCCATCGGCTCAGTGTTTCGTGGACAACTTGGCGTTGCTCAACAGTGTCGAACTCCAGTGACAGCGTGTCATCCTTACGCACCCTCGAGCTCACCAGCACCAGTCGCTTGTCTCCCACGACTCTCATCCTAGTGTCTCCTCCGAGCAGCAGCATGCGAACTGGCACGCAGTCCTCGGGGCGTCGTGGGTCATGGCGATACACGCTCAGAATCGGTGACTTGGAGCCACGGAGTACAACCCATCGACGCTTTGATACCCAGCAAGGCACGAAACGCGCACACTTGACGCGAGCAGAAATCATGAACTCACTTGGCAGCACCGCGTCTTCCATCGCGCTAACGAAAGTGGCACCATGATCGCTAACTGAGACCTTGGTGCACATATCACTGACCAACGTCGGACGTTCCGTCATTGCTTCCTTCGACGTAATTTCTGCACTGACACTCGATTGACGAAAACCCATGTTGAAGTGCTTGGTGCTGCCCCAGAGTTTCAGACCAAATCGGTGTAAAATCAAAAGTTGCTGGTGTATTGTAATACAAATTCGTACAGTACAGGTACATAACCGGCCGTTTGCAACCGAGGTTGTATTTTTCTCATGAAAGCTATTTCATTGGCGAATCGCTTGATTTGTGGACGGTACCGGCTGGTCTGGGGCTGATACTTTGCCAAACGCAGCTGTATCGACTGCAAAATCAGTTGAACAGAGGGTTTGATATCTTACCCGCAGTTGCAACCAAAAGTTAAGTAAGTCGCGCCTCCCTCCGGTTGCATTGAAATATATTATTTCCACAATCGGAAACGCAATTCAAAGCTCAAGTATAATGAAAGGAAGCCGGTACAAGTCAATTCTCTGTGAATTCATGGCCTTTAGAGCTGATCACAACTTCCCAGCTAGCACTGTCTTCAGTCGAGAAGCGCTGCTGGAAATCACACCGGACGACGTCTGCCATTAGATGAATTATCGCGCTTTTGGGGACCGCAGTCCTACGGAAGACGCGAAGCCAGTGAACGCCCGGGCATCTACCTTGGAGTACGCTAAGAAAGCGATCTCCTCTTTCATGCCACGACGGACGGTCCCGTGGGATCCTATCCGTAATGAAGGTAACCCAACTCGATCGGAGGCCGTGAACGCAGTGATTAAGAAGGTGAAACGCAGTGAGGTTCGCAGAGAAGGAGTGCAGTCGGCAGCAAGGCGTCCGATCGAGTATGAAGAGTTCCTCAACCTACTCGAACAAGTCATTTCCAGAAAAACAAAGGGGGTGCTGAGGTATCTAGTATGTGCAGTGCTCACTATGCAATGGCATCTTATTGCTCGTATTGACGATATGATGAAGCTGCAGTTTGACAGCTTGTCCTGCAGTATTCAGCACCCAGGTACACTGACTTGCCAACTACGGTGGTCTAAAAACATTTCTGAAGAACGCGACGCACCAGAGCAAATTGTGCTAGGCAGTATGGATCCTCGCGTCTGTGTGCTTCTTAACATCGCTGTTCATGTGGAGATGACCGGAAAGACGTCATTATCATCTTACGTGTTTGGCAATCCACTGGATGGAGATCGCGTCGTCCGCCGCTTCATACAAGAAATCTTCGTTGGATCCACCTTCCACAAGCTGAAGCCAGGCAACCTGGGAACGCACAGCTTGCGAAAAGGTGCAGCTACTTACGGTAGCCGAAGTGGTCTACCTAAGGACTATGTTAATCGGCGTGGAAGGTGGCGTACAAGGAAGAGTGTTGTCGATGTGTACATTGACAACACTCAACCGTATCCAGACGCTGTAGCTGCCGGGGCATTGGCGGGGCCGCTTGGTCCTTGTCGCTACGTACTCAAGGACGGAGTACAGACTGTCACTGACGACGTGTTAATTCATCAAGTTGGGCCTGTGATTAAAGAGGCTATGAATGACGAGGTGGCACGTGTACTTGCACTGCCACTTATTTGGGCAAGTTTGGTGCCGCACGGAAGTTTCGATTACGAAGTCATACCGGCTGCGCTCAAGAAGCGCATTTTGCATGCCTACGTTAATGCTGGAGGAAATCCATCTATAAATGCGGTAGAGCGTGTACCCATCCATGTTGCTGGCGAGGGTGCGCAGCTTCAGCTCGTTGAAGTACGAGAAGACGCTGTCGAAAGCGGTGCTCTCGAACACACTAGCGGGGGCATTAGCGTGGATAGCACGCGTAAGGAGTTCGCATCAATTCACTCGCAGCTGTTCGGCATGCAGCGCCAGACAGCCAACGTTTTGAACGAGGTTCTTCGTCGCGCACTGAAACTCAACGCGACTACCAAAAGCTGTTGGCGGTGGTACGACGTATTGCGCTACAGCCTGTAGCCCGCATGATACATCCCCGACATGCAGTAGCGGCAGCTGCAGATGATGAAGAACAGTGTGCAGCAGAAGTCTTACACGCAAGGCTGTCTAAGCGACCGAAGGACCTGTACGAGCTTTGGGGGGAGTACCAGTTTGGTTTAAGCGGGTTGAAACCAGCCAAAGCCTTCACTGCAGCAGATCGCGGCGCCAACAAATTTGCGTATTCTCGTCGCAAGGTATTCTGGGACGCCGTTGCTACGTTTGTACGCTCGGGGTTCACCAGCGACGTTGCCATTGACAGAATTTACGCGGCCTATGGTCGGCAGCTCTCTGTCACTCGCATCCTTGCCGCCCTTCGCAATGACAAACACCAAGGTGGCCATCCATCTCTCCGTCTGTAGTTACAGCTAACGAAACTCACGAATGCACCTTATTGACCAATGACAGTGCGGTAGCTCGCTCAGTTGCACATTCAGTCGGTATTTATACAGTGCCCTTAAATCTTGATAAGTCAGTAATGCACTTACAATGCGCCGATTTCGTCATTTTCCCGTCCTTATTTATTATCGATTCTAGTTCTGATATTATATATGCCATACCTCAGGTTTTCCTATTTTTGGACTGAAGTTACGCCAGCCGACAGCTTCATCTCGTTGAAGTGGCAGAGGCAATAAATATCCGTCTTCGTTGCTGCACTGCACCTGCAGGTCTCAGTCCGCAGCTTTCTCCATAGCAGTTTCGTCGCGATCTTTTTCAAGCGATGGCGGCACGGGACGCTGTACTGTCGATGACTCCGCCGCCGCGTCGCGCATCTTGTGGCCAACAGACGGGAGAGGTGCATTTCAAAGACGGCAACGGTTGGTTCTACCACACAGTATCGGCCGCTACGCCTACGGAGAAGCGTAAGGCTCAGCTGTTCAAACAGGAGGCTGGTGAGCGCCAAAGTGACAGCGACAGCGACGATGACGCAGCGTCGCAGCAATACGCGTGGAGTGTGGGCTCCACGCGACGCCGAAGCAGCGTGGACAGCTCCGTACAGTTAGAGCGCACACGCGAGATTGCTGGTAACCTGCAGGACAGCATACTGGCTAGGATATCGACACTCCGAGCACTCTGTGACGAAGGATTTATCACGGAGGAGGAGTATGAACGGTATGCAAATAAAAAAATGGTTGGGGTCGATACTTTTATGTTGACGAGTGTTTAATATTGCTATGTAGACGCAAGTGTGTCATAGTGGACGAACTCACATTTTCATCGCTAGCACCGGCGTCAAGTACGCAGAATACAGTCACACAGAGGAGACGCATGTCATTTCGAAGGACGGAAGGTGCGAATAATTGCAACTTAAAAGTAAAAAAATATGTTTTTAACGGAGTTGTGTTGCAGGCTTACCACTCATTGTTCCGCACGCGCCGGACTTTCGGGAAATGAGTCCGGAACTAGCTATTAAACACGTATTCAACTACTCCATACGCCAATGGAGCAGCACGCAGGTGTTCATCAATCTGGACGAGACACCTTTTAGTAAAGGAAGTCTTCGGATAGTGTACCATTTGCAAGATCTGAGCACGGACAGCTCCGTGAGTTTGTCCAATAGTGGCTGCTATACAGATAGCTACGTGGCTAAGCTGGCTATCGACCCGGACGAAGACCCGCAGACGTATTTTAAAGACATCGAACTGCAGGCTCATTGCGCACATTACGCTCAAGTATATAACTCGTATACTCCACCCAAGCGTGTCGAATTCATCCCAGCTTGGGTGCTCGAGCTACCTGAGCGAAATGGTGCATTATGCGCAGTGGAGGCGTATATCCCGGGAGAATACCGCAAACACAACAACAATTTTGGGTCAGTGAGCGACGATGAACGCAACACGCCACAAGCTTTTTCTCACTTTACGTACGAAGCTTCGAATCACGAACTACTCGCTGTGGATATTCAGGGCGTGGGAGATCTGTATACAGACCCACAGATCCACACACTTAACGGCCACGACTTCGGTAAAGGCAACCTTGGAGTTCTCGGCTTCCAGAAGTTCCTCTCGTCGCATCGATGCAACTCCATTTGTCGCTATCTCAAGCTACCCGCAGTAAATCCAAAGTCTCGTCACGCTGACTCCGGCACTCTACCCGTTCAAGAAGTGATGAACCGAGATCGTGTACGACCTACACATTTCGACTCGCGACACTATTACGAGAACGCTCCAATGCTCCAGAAGTACGTGAGTCAGTGCCGCGAGATGGACAGCTCATATTCGGCTTCGTCTTCGAGTTGTTCCAAGCGATTCCGAGAACGCAACACTCGCCTACACTCTGGTTTTGCTCACTTCTGCAAGGTGCTGTTCTGTGGCTGCTAAATGTCCATACTCTCACTTTTCTCATTAAAAAAAACTTGTCTAAAAAGTAGGAGGCGTATCTACAGTAGTTCATCTTTAGAAATCAAACACAATTTCCACTAACCTACGCCGCTTTCTCACCGTACACAGCCTGGTTCACCAGCTCAAGTAGAGTATCCCCGAAAGTTTCCAATGAGAAGAGTTTTTGGGCACGAAGTCTGCCACACGCGCTCATTTCGACGACTTTGGTGCTGTTTTTAGGTCCACACAGCTTCGCCATGGCCTCTGCGAAAGCCTCTGGCTTCTGCTGACACAGAAATCCCGTCTCTCCATCAGCGATGGACTCTAACGGACCGCCAGAACTCACTGCGATAACAGGAGTACCACATGCCATGGCCTCGACAGGGACGATGCCGAAGTGCTCACGATCAGGTGTATACAGGATGCCATGAGCCTTGCGTAATAACTCAAGCTTCATGGAGTTTGAGACGGAAGTACGAAACTCTACATGCTCCTTAAGACCATGCTTCACAACCACAGCTTGGAGCTCGATGAGATGTTCCTTGTTCTCGGTATTTAGCGGGTCGTAACCTCCTGCCACGATAAGTTTAACACGCTGGAACTCATCGCTCGGCAGTCTGGTACGCAACTCCACGAGCGCTTCAATCGCTAGTGCCACATTCTTCTTACGCTCAAAGCGGTTCAGCGACACAAAAAGCCCTGAATCACGCTGTACGTCTGCCTCAGCGGTGGCTTCGTAAGCCTTTACATCTACCGGTGGGTAAAGGATGCCTAGCTTCTTCGAGCGGAGACGAGGGAAAACCTTCTGAAAGACTTCACGAGAGAACTTGCTGTTAGCTACGATGATATCTGACGCAGCGGTGGTGATCTCCTCCAAATAGTCCAATGGTATGCGATACATACGCTTCCAAGGCGAGTCGGAGCGGATGCAGAGAAGTTTGTCTGGGAAGTGGCCATAGAAGAGCACGGGCTTGCCTAGCGCACGCAAGAACGGGATAGAAATCGACACTTGGTCCACCACGAACACATCCACGTCGTTTATGTAGGATATGGCGATGCATAGTGTCACGAATAGTACGCGTACTACTGCGCAGAGCGCGTAGAGCTTGCCTAGGATCGTACGGGGTAGCCAATCGCCATGTACACGCACGTGAGCAGCCAGCGGTCCATCGCCACGTGTCTCTTCGAAGCAGTGGTTCACGTCGTGGTGGGCTGTGAACACGGTGACATGAGCACCACGTTGTTGCAGCGCCACCGCTGCGTTTACAACGAGGTTCTCAGCACCGCCGATACCGAAGTCAGGGTGTACGAATCCTACGCGAAGCTTTTTGGTCTCTTTCGATTGTCGAACAGGACGAGGAATCGAGCAGTTGAGACCACGAAAGAATCCCCAGACGACGAAGATGAGCACCAGGACCCACGGGGCCACGATGGCGGCCAGCGCCGGTGGAGGAGGAAGCGCCATAGGTCTTAATTTTGGCGAGGTTTTCACTATACCGGTAATATTAGTTATAATTACAACTGTTTCAGATTCTAAAAATCATTTATACAAAAAAATAGAACTTGAATTGAAAACGGTGATGTTTTACGATGACGAATCACCTCAGTAACATTGGAAAGCAGGAACGGGAGGGATGACGGTCGGATCCCAGCGACAGAAGTAGCCCTTCCATAGTCTGTAATACGAAGTAACGTAATTTAGTTTGAGCAACTTCAAAAGTGAGAATTTAGAATTGGATCGTACTTGATGTTCTTGGAGAGCGTGCTGGGAGACAACACGGTCGCCTGCTCGCTGGGTGCATACATGTGGTTCGTGAAGCGCTCGCTTTGAGTGTTGATCTCGCTCCAGACCGAGAACACTCGATGTTTAGCGAAAAAGTCCTTCCTATAATTGAAATGCAAAGAAAAATATTGTCAGATGCAAGTCAAGCAGCATAACTCACGAAAAGATACTCACCGTTGACGTTCGCAATCGAACATGAACGTGCCGAACTTGCACGAGTAAACATGATCCGCCAGCGTAAGTAGAAAGCTCTCGTTGAACTCGCACTCCGTCGGATACTGGCGAATGTATTGCCAAACACAATCCAACCACAGCAGAAACACGGGCGAACGTTGCTCGTTCGAGACGTCACTGCGAGCGTGGCCACTCCTTAGAGCAAACTGGTGTCCAAATGCACACCATTCCTTCTCAACGAGTATCTGGAACCCACGCAGAGTACGATAATACGGATCCAACATCAACTCAGCCAGCGCCACCATCTGCGCTGTACGGTCCCATCCATCGCTACAATGCGTTAACACGGACATACCATTGTGAACTGTGTGCGCCAACTCCACCGAAGCCTCCAAAACCAGACGCACGTGACGTAGCCAGCCAGAACTGTCGATACGTCCGTAAAAACTGCTCGACGTATCTTCGCTCGCACTCTTCTTAGGCTCAAAAGTCGCAGCTAAAGCGAGCTGCGACTGCCGAACCGAGTGAATGTTCTCGACGTTCATGAATATCAGTTTAGCGCCGCGATAGTTGCTGGAGATCTCGGTTCCTTTTCCCAACGCTTTATTACCCACAGCAGCCAATTGACTTCGCGCATCCATGATCACATAACGTCCGAACGCTTTCTTGTTGCTTGAGCAGCACGACAGCGTTACAAGCAGCTCGTCTTCTCCACTACGTGCAGATTTCAAGCCTACAAGCGGTTGACTCGACCGAACGATGGTGGCTCCATTCCCGCGATGAATCCAGCTCACCACAGGAAGACGTTGATGAGCTCGGAACGCAGCGGCTGCCTTGAGACGTACGTCCGAGATATCCGCAGGCACAATAAGGTGTCGCGGGTACGTCTCGCAGAGCGTGTACGTCACCGACTGGTCGATACAACGCAGATGTCCTGGAAAAGATAGTAATCCGATACGTTTGTACTCCTGACGAATGTCGAATTGCACTTCTTCGGATGGAGCCACAGTTGGAGCATACGCAAAGCAGAAAGCATCCAGCAAACTCTGTGGGAAAGCCAGAAAGCTCAAGCACTTGACAAGTTTGCTGTACTCGCTCTGGTCAGCGATAGACAAGCGTGCCACCTGTAGATCTTTGCAGCGAATCACGACTTTGAACGAGTCGTCTGGAGCGAAACCAAGAGCAACTTGCGCATTTTCCACCGAGAGCGTAGCAGCAGCTGTTGTAGAATTATCACGAGGATTGATACGGTCGATTGAGGTGATGGACAGCACCGGGATCTGCCAGTCAATTTCTCCTCGGCCAAGTAGACGCGTGAAGAAACATCGATAGTTCGTGATGAACAACTTCCCGCTGATGTAGTGAGATTGGCATGATCCGTCGTGGGAAAGCACCAGTCTCTGCATACTCGTCTCAACGTTGGCGTAACACAGCTCTCCGGGTAAAAATACAGGCAGAACCAGCTCAGATAATGCAGTTTCCGACCTCGGCGAGGACCCCGCAGCATCTGAAGATCCGATAGCTTCAGAACCATCCGAAACAGCAGCGTAGACGTCACTGCAATGGCAGAATCCAATGTATACCGGGCGGTTGATGAGTTGGAGACGACGCTTTACTTCTTCAGTCGTCACGCCTACAATTGGAACGCCATTGATGGACTGAAGCAGATCACCGAGACGCACTTTCCCACTAGCTTCGGCTTGTCCTACACCATCGGTAGCATTTGGGTCTCTTGTAAACGATTTCACTGCTAAACGATCGTCGTAAGGAGCTGCTGCTCCTGTCAATACAATGCCAAGCGAGCCTTCCTTAAACTGGACAACTTTCACTGAGCTAGATCCTTTATCAGAGTTGGCCACGTCACTGGCACTCTGTTGTTGCTCTTCGGCCATTGGATCTTGTAGAACTTTGGCGAAATTCATGAGTTCCACAGCGCGATTCTCTTCTCCGTCGAGTTCTTCTCCTTGATACGTACGCATGAGGAGCCGAAGACAGCCAGTGTTATCCGATTGACGTAACTCAGAGGACAATTGCAGCAGTCTCGCAACGCAGACATAACGCAGCAGTGGGAAGCCAGTCCAGTTCGTATCTTCGCTTTTACAGGCTAGCTTAGGTAATTGCAATAAATCGTTATCTGATTTGACAGTCATGTTGATCACTGGGAAAATAACGTCCGCTCGACTGTTGTCCAAGATCATGGCATCCCAGACCCACAGTAACTCTTTCAGTGCGTATTCGCGTGCAAAAAGAAGTCGGATCCACCTCAAGCAATACGTCTCTGGGACAATTTCCAAGTTTTGCAACTGGTAGTATAGCTGCGGGTCTTTCTGCTGCAATAGTTCGAATTGGATATGATGGCATAGTCGATGCAGTGCTGGTTGTGTTTCGTGTCCATTGCTGCTCTCACTCTCCTTTAGTGAGAAACTGGCAAATAGTCGCCTGCTGTCCTCATTATCACGTGCAGTGTTGCGTCTCGTCTTGATAATCTCGTAGAACGGTTTAAGGAACAACATGACGGCTTCAAACACCAAGAAAGTGTCCGCTTCTGGCTGATTCGGTAGGTTTTTGACCTGATCTTCCTCGGTGTTGCCCTCTTTGGTAGTCTGTAGGAAGGCGTAGAGTACTACGGCAACCACATCGTGCATGCCTTGACGGTAAGCTACATCCGGATGTAATCGACACCAGACGAAGAGTACGTGGCGCAGTGTGCTCAAGTACAATTCGTTTTGGAAGAAACTTTCGTTGCCTGCAGGGTACAGGCGCTCTAGATCTGTGTTGATCTCCTCTAGCAGCGTTTCGTCCGTGAAGTATTGGCTCCAACTTGAAGAATTGGCAGAAGGCGAGCCATTGGCAGCCGCGAAGGCAGTCAGCGGGTCAGTGATGCCAGTCGCGTCGATCTGAAACACCATGTGCTGCTTCAGACGCTCGTAGCGCTCACGCTGTGCTGCAAGCACATCGCCCTGCAGCCCAAACGCCGCTGCCCAGCGCGCTCCACGGCTCTCCATGATGGCTACAATTATACTGACGTACAAGCTGTAGTATTTATTACTTTAAGTATAATACTTTGACAGAGTCGCGAAAAGTAATACCGGCAGTGACTGATAGTAGCTTCAAGTATTTCTAACACTTTAATTTTCCCTGTACCGAGAACTAATGTCTACCTTAGTAGTACCAAAATTAAAATCTGGATACATGTATTAGGTTGATGTGACGTTCGAGCTAGTACTATTAATACATGATGTATCAATCAGATATTTAATCTGATCCGAATCAGATTTATTATCTTATAACAGCGGATCATTGTGCTGTACATGTATATTGTACAATACCTTCAAAATTGTGTTCAGAACACTATAATTCGTCAATACTATTGACTCAGCCTCAAAATGCTGAGTAGAGTGACGTCTTCGTCTGTGGCCCGTGGCTTCTCGACGCTCTCGTTCGGGGCGCTACCGCCTACTCCCAATCGTCGGGTGGTCGTAACTGGTCTGGGTGCTGTCACTCCGTTCGGCGTTGGCGTTTCGCGCTCTTGGGACGCGCTGCTAGACTCGCAATGTGCCATCGATGTATGAATCATCGCTGAAATGTGCTTTCCATTGATCCTTAACACCTAATTATCGTGGGTTGCAGACAGTTGACGCCCTTGCAGACACGGGGCTCAATTGCACCATTGGCGCGGCTGTCCCGCGAGGCGAAGGGGACGGGGCTTTCCGCACGAAAGACTGGGTGAACCTCAAGAACCTCCGCGCTCAAGAGCCAGACTTTATCGCGTTCACATTGGCAGCAGGTTAAGACGATCTGTGATGATGCTGTGTCGAGCTAGCGTTGATTGTGCTTTGGATGTTTTGCTACAATAGCTGACGAAGCTTTAAAGGACTCAGGATGGAGTCCTCACTCAGATGAGGAAAGAGAACGAGCGGTGGGTACTGCATTGCGTGTGATTGAAGAGGGTGTAGCTGACAGATAGGCTTCTGTTTGATAGGGTGTGGCTATCGGTGCTGGTATGGGGAATATTGCGGAGGTTATGGATGTTGGAAAGCTCATTCAGGACAAGGTACTGGCGGTCGATTTGTTGCTGACACGTGAATTTGTATTCTGATTGACTGAATCATATCTCGCAGAAATACCGTCGTGTATCGCCGTTCTTCATCACGCGAATTCTCATTAATCTGGCGGCAGGTCACGTGAGCATTGAACATGGACTAAAGGTTCGGCTGTGAATTGTGTCGGAAGTGGTCTGATGCCAGATATCTAATCGTATGCTGGTGTAGGGACCGAATCATTCTTGTGTCACGGCATGTGCCACGGGTAGCCACAGTATTGGCGACGCTACGAGTTTAATCCGACACGGAAACCCCTGACGTGATGGTGCAGGTGGCACCGAGGCTTCTTCTCAATGAGAATTTCCAAGGTGCGCTTTCTTGCGTGCACAGGCTTTATCAACAAAGGTGGGGCAGTGCGGCATTATATAAGGAATCAGTCTGCATGTGCTGACGTTTGTCTTGTGCACTTGAATAGTTCAACGGTCGCCCACAAGAAGCCTCCAGGCCTTTCGACTCGCAACGCGACGGATTTGTCATGGGGGAAGGTGCTGGTGTTGTTGTCCTGGAGGTATATACTTTGCAATACTTAAGCTGTCGTGAGGGATTATTAGACAATTCAACCGTTTGGTCTGCTGTGTTAAATGAAGGAATACGAGCATGCCAAGAAACGTGGAGCTAAGATCTATGCTGAGGTACGGGGCTACGGTCTCAGTGGTGACAGTAACCACATTACGGCTCCTCTGGAAACTGGAGATGGCGCTCGACGAGCCATGCAGTCAGCAATCGCCCAGTCTGGTCTTGCCTTGTCTGATATCGGCTACATCAACGCACACGCGACGTCAACGCCACTGGGTGATCGCGCTGAGAATGCCGCCGTGAAAGAACTCTTCGGCGAACATGCTAATCAGCTAGCAATGTCATCGACCAAGGTACACTTTACAAGACATACACAACCTGTGTTGGATGTGCTGACTTTCCACTTGGTAATTAGGGAGCTATTGGCCACTTGCTTGGTGCTGCTGGCGCCGTGGAGGCGATTTTTTCGATCAAGGCTCTGCACCACGTAAGCTTATCATTATCTTAATTCATTTATCTGCTCCACTAACGTTTTTTTTTTTGCTGAAATCAGAACGTAATGCCTCCTACACTGAATTTAACGGAGACTACAGAGGAATTCACGTTGAATTACGTCCCGAACCAGCCGCAAGAAAAGGAATTACGCGCAGTTCTCACGAACTCGTTCGGTTTCGGAGGAACAAACGCCAGTCTCTTGTTTGCCAAATAGGAGCAACATGTTGCTTTCTCTAAAGTTTTCCAGTACTTTTAGGTTTGGTAGCGAGAAACTGTCTTCTCTGCTGGGTCGTATTTGTCTGCTATTACATCACGCGACGTGCTACCAAAAGATTCCTTTCTGTCGGAAATTTCAGCTTGCATCCGCGAATGAGGTAGTGGAAGGTACGCGTAGCTACTGCTCCGGTACTCCTCCACCTTCTTTCGCGCCATCTATAAAGGTAAACCACACATCAGAATGGTTCATGCAGCTAAACAAACCTGGTCAAGCACCTACCGTGGCTTCACGCTCCATCCGCGATCTCTCGAGTGTCATCCTCTCCAATGCTGTACGGAGCTCACGCTCTTGTCTGTAGAATTGTTGTTGTTTCGAGAGCGCCCCTGTGAGTTGGGCACTTAGCTCCGACACTTTGCGGTCGCTATCATCACATGCATGTTCCTGCTCCAGGAGTAGCTCCTTTGCATCATTCAGATCTCTGGTTAGCTGCTGGACCTGCAGTGTCAGAACGGAGCACTTGGCGTCTGTTTCCTGTCGACTCTTGTCCACACGCTTTCTCTCCTCCTTGAGAGACTGCATCCTTGCTTTCAAGCTCTCGACTTCTGCAATCAAACGCACTTCGCTACGCTCCCGTTCGCTACGAGAGCGGTCCAGCACTGACGCGGCTTCTTTCTTGGCCAGAGACAACTTGTACTCCAGTTCAGCAGCTTGGGCTTTCAGATCTCGATTCTGTTGATGCAGTATCTCGAACTCATTCGTAAACCGGTTGGCACAATCCGCCTTGACCTTATTCAGCTGGTCGTTCAGTAGCTGCACTTTCCGGTGCTGCTCTTCGCTTTCGTCTTTTGCTTCACGTGCCTCAGTACGACGCATTTCCAGCTCTCGCTCCATCAAACTCACTCGTTCCTGTATAGATACGTTAACCACGTCGGTTCTTGTTAAACCATGAGAATATCCACCTGAAAAAGTACGTACGCCCAACTCTTGTCCTCGATCCCGGAATTCAGCTCGCAGCTTTGTTAGTGCGTCTTCTTTTGTTCGAATCCTCTCGAGGTATTCAGCTTCCAGGTGACTAGACTGTGTATCACGACGCCAACGTAGCTTTAGTGATCAGCGTTTAGTGACGATAAGAGCTACAGTGCCGTACCATATCGCGAGCTTCTTCAGCTGTTGCAGCACGCTCGCTTAGATGCTGGAGTTTCTTCTGCAACACCAAGAGTCCAACAGTTAGAAGCAATGCTGCTTGTGAAGGTTGTACAGAGTTAAAATACCTCGAACGCGATGCTTGCATCCTTAGCACGGCGAATTGAGTCTGCCAGTTTCTTCTCTGCCTCCTTATGGTTCCTTGTCGTCACCTCAATTCTGGATCGTACATCTGCGAGCTCAGCGTTTAGAGACTGAATCTCTTGTTCTCGACTGCTCATGTCCGCCTCGTGTTTGCGAGCTACAGTGTTCAAACTCTCCTCTTGCGTCTTCATGTGATCTGCAGCTTGTTGTCGAAGTCGCTCCAATAGTCGGACAATCTCCCGTCGACTTTGCAGCTCACGAGCAGCCACCTATCCCAACGAGGCACACAACCTTGCAGTTAGGTAAATTGCTATCCTGTTGTTGAAATGAGGTATTCAAACCTCTTCTTTCTCCAGAATGGCTTCCTCAACCTTCGCTTTACATTCCGATTCCATCTACAACAGTGCACACAGAGCGTTAGAGCGTCAACTATTCGCCTAGATGAAGTGATGTACACTCTTACCTCAGCAACTGCGTCTTCTCTTGCGCAGTACTGAGTAAGCTGCTTTTCCATACTGTTAAGAACGTTCAGCATGCCCTCACAGTCTTGCCGTACACCATCTAGCTCGCCTTGCAGTCCGTTATTTCGTTCTTGTAAGTCATCGACAGTTTTCTCTTTCTTCTCGAGTGCATTTGTCAGCTCGCGTAGACGCACACACACGTTTTGATAGCGTGTGGAGAAGGCTTCGTCTTTGCGCTCGTTGCTTCTCTTCATCTTCTCCATCATGTCTTCGTATTCGCTAAGCTGGGTTTCTAGATCGCCGCGTTCTTTGCGAACTGCCTCTGTTTGTTCCGTCAGCGACTCCTTCACGCTCTCCAGCTGCGCGATCGACGCTGCATAGTGTTGTAGCTGTCGTTCGCAGTGTGTCTTCTCCTCTCGAACTTGTGAGCAAGCGTCACGCAGCTCCTGCAGTGCGAGGGTAGCTTCGTTGAAGTTCTGCCCCATAATCTGCAATTGCTGGTCTCTGTCGATGATCTCTTTCTTCATGGCGCCCATCTCGTCGTCTTGAAGAGAAACTTGCTCCATTAGCATATTGTTCTCAGCCATCAACACGTCAATACGCTCGTTGATCTCCTGTAAATACTCTCCGTTCTCGTGCACGTTCATGAAGTCTTCGTGCATGTCTCTGGGCTCATTTTGCATCCGGAGCACCATCTTCTCCCCCGCCACCTCCAGTTCTCTACAATTACGTCGTAAAACTTAGTCACCGCCCCCCAAACTCTCACCTCTGTTGCCTTACTGTCTCAGTGTAGTGTTCTCTCTGGCGAGTCCCTCGGCTCGCGACGCCACGCGGTCCATCGCTTTCTTGTTGTCTAGTAGTGATGTCTCCTGCAGTGATTCTCCTTAAAGTTAATAAATCCACGTATACTTCTAAGCTACACTATACTCACCAGCTCCTGGATTTTGAGATCGTAGGCCTGTAGCAAAGGGTTCGTGTACTCGGAGGCTGTTAGCCAAGGAGCCAAGCGCTCGTGTGGATCCTCGTCACTTTGAGTTGCGTCTGCTAGTGTTTTTAGCTTCTCCAGCTCTCCGTAGCGCTGTAACAGGCCGCGTAGTTGCACTAGCAATCGCTCTGCATACCCTCGGAGGAAGTCTCTCTCATCTGCGAGTCGTGCGCTCTCCACACAGCAGCCAGAAATGCACGCAGACGGAGGTAATGTGGGTCCAGCAGGTTTCAGATTAGGTTCAGGCTTTGGAGGTGCCTGCAGCCGCCCCTGCGTCTCCAGACGACGCGAACGCTCCGCTTGAGGCCCGCCATCGTCCATACTTCAAATTGAGTTGGCGTCTTTTCAAGATTACATTTATGTGACATACATTAAATATACTCCATTATTAAATATAAGATATAAGAGACCTGTAGAATGATGTGTTGTCACTGTGTCAATTATGTGCATATGGTGTTCAATGTGGAATTATCTACTGGTGCCTGTTTCATTCGGGGAGTAGCCGAAGTGTCAATCAAATCAAAGAGCAAAAATGCCGACCGTGGGGGTGAAGCGCGACGAGCTGTTCGCGGCCATGGGCCAGACGTACACGGACGAAGAGTTCGACGTGTTGTGCTTCGAGTTCGGCATTGAACTGGACGACGTAACGAGCGAGAAGCAGCTCAAGCAGCGCGAGACAAAGGGCCAAGGCAAGGACCACTCGGAGCACTCGGACGCTGTGCTCTACAAGATCGACGTCCCCGCCAACCGTTACGATCTGCTCTGCGTCGAGGGAATTGCACGTGCACTGCGTATTTTCCTAGAGAAGGAACGCCCGCCTGTCTACACGCTGACGCCCCGTGCCGAGGGTGCTCACAGCATCACGGTCAAGCCCAACACGAAGGTGGGTTGACAATGCATTGGGTTTATTAATATTATTAGCTGTTTAATACTGTTATTGTAGCTTGTACGCCCGTACGTAGTGTCGGCTGTGCTGCGTGACGTCACGTTCACACAGGAGCGCTACGACAGCTTCATCGACCTGCAGGACAAGCTCCACCAGAACATCTGCCGTCGCCGTACACTTGTGGCTATCGGCACACACGATTTGGACACTATTGAAGGTCCTTTCACCTACAATGTACGTGAATTTAGGTGGGGTATCGACAATTTAAAGAAAATTTTGTAACCATTCTATTATTTAGGCACTGCCTCCGAACGAAATCAGCTTTATCCCGCTGAGCCAAACCAAGGAGTTTGAAGCCAAGGAACTACTGGATTTCTACCGCACCAACCCGGAAGTCAAGCATATCAAGCCGTACACGGATATTATCTACGACTCGCCTGTGTACCCTGTGATCACGGACAAGAACGGCGTAGTCTTGTCGCTGCCGCCCATTATCAACGGCGAACACTCCAAGATCTCGTTGGACACGAAAAACGTCTTCATTGAGTGCACAGCCACGGATATTACCAAGGCCAAGGTCGTACTTAACACGATGATCGCCATGTTCTCCGAGTACTGCGCCAAGCCTTTCACGGTGGAGCCTGTGCAGATCAACTATGAGGACCAAAGCGTGAACGAGAACGAGCTGACGCCCAACCTCAGTGAGCGCCCGGTCGAAGTGCAGATCAAGAACATCTACTCGATGTTGTTCGGCAAGGGGGAGCCTGTTAACTTGGACGTGGACCGGATCTGCAAGCTGTGCGACAAGATGCAGCTGGACGCTAAGCCCTCAGGTAACGGCAAGACGATTATTGCTGAGGTTCCTATCACCCGGTCGGACATTCTACACCCCGTGGATGTGATCGAGGACGTTGGCATCGCTTACGGCTTCAACAATATCCCGCTTACGATCCCTCAGACGCAGACTATTGGTATGGCTCAGCCGCTTAACAAACTAGGCGACCATCTTCGCGATGAAATCAGCCGTGCCGGCTACATCGAGCTGCTGACTCACGGCTTGTGCTCGCACAAGGAAAACTTCGAGTACCTGAACCGCGAGGACGACGGTCACTCGGCTGTTGTGCTGTCCAACCCGGCTACTGTGGAGTTCGAGGTTGTGCGTACGTCAATGTTGCCGGGTGTGTTGAAGACCATTCAGAACAACAAGGCTATGTCGATCAAGGAAGGGCTGAAGCTGTTCGAGATCTCGGACGTCGTCGTGATTGACGACAACACGGACGTCGGAGCCAAGAACGTGCGTCGTATCTGCGCCGCGTACACTGGCCCGACTGATGGTTTCGAGGTTATTCACGGTCTCGTTGACCGCATCATGCAGTTGATGGGTATCCCGTCTGCGCTGGAGATGCCTGCGGGCACAAAGGAGTACTACACCATCACGCCCGCGGAGGAGCGTACTTACTTCCCCAACCGTTGTGCGTACGTGACTCTACAGAAGGAGGATGCTAAGCCTCTGCGTCTTGGTACGTTCGGTGTGCTGCACCCACAGGTGCTGAAGAACTTCGATCTGCTCAACCCCACATCCGTTCTGGAGATGGACTTGGAGCCTCTGGTTTAAAGCTCGACGGTATCAACACTAGGAGAGAAGCAGGAAGGATATACGCGGTGTCAAAAGATGGCGACATCGCACGAGAGGAGTAGACAGCCAATAGCTGGGCCCATTGGTAGCAACAGGATGGGCGAGGTAATGCGATGTGATGCGAATCCAATGTTGACTTGTGTGCGCTCGACTTGATCTAGAGATAAACCTCTATAAATATGTAGGTCAAGCAGGCGAACAAAGGTAAGCGAAAATAGCTCGAGGAAGCTTGGACTTTGGTATTGGTCTCAGTACTGCAGAGCATCATTCGCTGTCGCCATGGACGGGGACACTCTGGATCGTGAATTGGCCTCGCTCGCCGACACTATCACTGTGAGCAACCCTATCACTTTTGGGCAAAAGTCTTCATGGTACGGATTCATTGCACGAGTTGGCAAACTGGGATGTGGATGTCTTAACTTATGTTGTTGTTGTAGGCGTACAGCACAAAAAGATGCCGAATTGATGGCAAACCATGAAAGCGAATTTGCTAAGACGCTCCCAAAGAAGTTTGTGCTGACGGAACTTCGCGATGCCAAAGGCGACTTTGCAGTTGTAGCTAATGCTGCAAAGAACCCGATGCAGCCACTACGCCCTAGTTTGCTACTTAACGAAGATGGCAGTAGAAGCAAAGCCAGTGGTAGTGCAAGTATCTCGGGCGATCCTCCACCCAGAGCAGCGTTAATGACGCCGCCATCACGCGTACCAATCGCTAAGCGAATCCACATGGACGGTATCCTACGTGGTGTTCCTGGCAGCACCGAAGCGATCAGTACCATTCAGCAGCGAGCTTTTGTGTATGACAACGAGATGAGCAACATGAACCGCGATAAGGACACAAGTCACCACCGAAAGCGAGATGCTTATTCTGAATATGTGGAGGCTCGTGCGCGATTTAGCAAGATGCACAGCGTGAACTGAAGCAGAATTACAAACGGTGATAGAGCAAAAGCAAGGCGTATTTTAATGCACCCTGCTTAGCCCTTTCGTGATACAGAACACTTAAGCCAAACAGATCCAACATATTTATTTCCCAAAGATGACACTCGATTTTGTCACTAATACCAAACTAAAACTGTGTTTTGTCAATCGGCCTAATAGGCGACACTTGCGTTTTAAAGTCCAGTCCTCTTGGTAAGGTAATAAATTTGGGGTTTCAGGTTGTGGCAAAAATAAGACGTCCTCAGCTCCTTAACCATTTAGCGGGACTAGATCGATTCACCGCTTGTACTTGAAGTAGAACTCAGCTACTATTTAAACCACCCATACGTACTGGGCAATGCTTGCCAGCATTGTACTCGTCATTAGTCGCTTAAGTGCAATGCTGGACCTGCTGTCGTTGGCTTCGACAAAAATCAGCTTCACTCGTTTCGAATTCGCCAACGCACCATTCAACAATCCGACTCCTTCCAGAAAACCCGCAGCATCAACCCCATTAACAGGATGCTTTGACTTGGCCGTAAGTGTAACGGGCCAGGTATTTACTCGCTACTTGCTTACACTATAGTGTTGAGGAAGCTCGCAATAGGACGACTGAGTCTTAGGTTTAAGGTCTGACTTTATTTTAGGACCAAGGCCACAGCCGTGGCCACTCAAATACACGTCAGATGTCCAATTGGCTAATAATGGGTCTGGCTCCCCATATATCAGCCAATGGCATGACAGCATTTCAGCACACGCTAGTCGTGTGCTGATGCACCTACTTATGTAAAGAAATCTACCTACTTATGTAATGAAGGGGCCCATTACATTACCCCCCTCTTAAAGTTGCACTTACGCAACATAAGCGCTGATGAAGAACATTGGAGAAGACTGCTGGAACGGCGGAGACAGCGGCGACACTCGCGACATCAAGCCACTGGCGTATCAACAAGAGACACCACGCTCGGCAGCGAGCGTGCTGAGCGAGAAGCCATCTCAGACAACAGCTTGGAGGCCACCGTCGCTGGCGCTGGTGTCGACACACGTGGGCTTCGAGGCACCAGGTGAGGTTCTGGTGGAGTGAAGCTTGGACCTTTGAAATTGTACTGAGGCGCATAAAAATCTCTGAGACGTCGTGTCCGAGCATGTAACGGAGCATGCTCACGCGCAGTACGCGTGAGTTCGATTCCCACGGAGATCAAACTCCGCGACAAGTGCACGACCAAGTGTTTTTGCAAGGAAACGCTGGCACGATGATCACCACAGACGCAAAGACGGAGCGCCGACTGGAGACTTCCTTGTGCTTGGGGATACGCTCATCGTGGAACGTCCACGATGTTCTAGCAGACACGAGGATCACGAAGACAGCGCACGAGGTACCTGAGACCGCGAATACGGGGACGACAGCCACTTCACTCAGTTGACTGAGCGACGATGTGCGACTGCACAACGTACGGAGAAGTATCCTGTAGACCCAGGCGACTGCGACATCGGAATATAGGTGACCTGCGAGCTGGGGTTTCACTCGTCGTGGAACCTCGCGTCACTCACTCACTCACTCACTCACTCACTTGTTCACTCGGCTTACTCACCGAGTGGCTCAGCGGTACAGTGCCGAGTTCTCGTGTAGCTGGTCACCGGTTCGATCCCGCCGTCGACTCCAGTTTTCTTCTTAATAATCACGGCGAGGCCTCCGTGTATACGCGGAGGCTGGTCGCCTTCTTCACCGCGGGTATCAGCACCCGGCTCACTCACGCTTCGGAACGTGAGTGTCTTCTCGTATTCGTTCACGATGTCGGGAACGTCTTCCCGCAAGCGACTGCGCGGCTCCCAAGTATCTTCACCTGGGGAGAGTCCCAGCCAACGCGCGCGATAGTGTTGTTCCTTGTCCCGCAGGGCACGACCCTGTGGAAACGCTTCAGTGTGACGGTCAAGGGTACCATGACTTTGGCGAAAGTCGTGGTCGACGATTCGCTCAACGATCCAACGCTGAGCGCCCGAAGAGTCGATCAAAGGAGGAGGACCATCTCGCTGGAAAGTTGCCGCGTCACTCGAGGACGAATCAGTGTCCGGGATCTCGGATGGATGGTATTTCTTTAAACGTCCGACGTAGAACGTCGGATGTAGCCGTAGTGTCGAAGGAATATCCAGAGTGTAAGCGTCACCAATGGTCTTGATCACCGTAAACGGCCCAATAAAGCGCGGCGCGAGTTTGTTCGCGCCGAGGTTGATAACCGCAGCGTTTCTGATACCTTCCGTCGACAGGAGCACTCGTTCGCCTGTCGTAAACGTGGCCGTGTTCTTGCGGCCAGCCTTATCAGCGTTCTCCTTCTGCTTGTTCACTGCGTCCTGCAGTGCGTCTCGAACATAGCGGGTGACCGCTTGGCGCTGTAGTACAAAGTCGGAGACGACTGCGGAGTCGATTGGTCGCGCCGCATGCTTCGGCGCAAGTGGGCTCGATGCGGAACGTGTCACTGCGTTGACCGATGTGGGGACTGGGATACACTCAAGATATCAATAGCAACCGGTGTGTGTACCGGTTGACCCAGTGCCGGTGTTATCGCTGGAGACATCGGAGCTATAGAAGACGGCTTGTCGGCAGCTTCTTCCCCACCCAGAGTGGAGACACACGGTGCTGTGGGATGGCCCACAGCGAGAAGAGCAGGGACGCGCGGGTGTCGCGCGTTGTTAATGAAGAAGGGCGTCAGCCCAGTCGACGCGTGAACCGCGTTGTTCAGCGCGAACTCGGCCAGAGGCAGAAACGAGCTCCAGCTGGAGAACGACGTCGCGTAGCTTCGAAGGACGTCTTCGAGGACGCGATTTACGCGCTCCGTCTAGCCGTCCGTTTCCGGATGGGCTGCTGTGGACATTAACAGCTTCGAGCCCAGCAGCTCGAAGAGCTTCGACCAGAAGGCCGACGTGAAGCGCGGGTCGGAGACGATGGATTCAGGAAGTCCGCATCGATGAAGTGCACCGCGTTATCTGCCGCGGTGATCGCATCCGACACCGGAATCAGGTGGACCATCTTGCTGAAGCGGTCTACGAACGCCAAGACACCTGAGCGTCCTTTAGCATCGGGTAAGAGCCCGAAGATGAAGTCCATCGACACCGAGCGCCAGGCCTCGGTGGCCACCGGTAGAGGACGCAGGGGAGCTGCGAAGACGAGGCAGGTTTCACGCGCTGGCAGATCTCGCAGGTGCGCACCCATTTACGTACCCATTTGTACAGGTGGGGCCAATAAAAGTCGCGTGACACAGCGGCAAATGTCTTCTCGCGACCGAGATGAGCACCCAGCGGGGCATCATGAAACGCATGGATAGTCCGTGAGCGCAGATCGGGGTCGTTAGGGACAATGATACGTGGGGTATCGAAGTTGTCGATGATGTACGTCAGCAGCTCGTCCTCGAGACGATATCGGTGGATTTTGTTTCGTACCGAGCGGGAAAGGGCTCCCAGTGTATCGGCGCTGGGAGAGCGGAGATGCTCCAGGATACTGGAGCACATCGAGTCGTGGTCGTAAGCAGCTCGTATCTCGTCGCGAAGTGGCATTACCGGGGAGACGCTCGCCAGGTTGACGCCTGACGCCTCGCACGTGGCACACTCGTCTACATCGTCTTCATCCAGTGAACCTTGTCGATCCAATGCACCGCGTGGGTCGTAGTCGGGACGCCGAGACAAAGCGTCGGCGAGAATGTTGTTCTTGCCGGATTTGTAGTGGACAACGAAGTTGTACTCAGAGAAGAACGAAAGTCAGTGGGCCATCCGCTGGGAGAGATGAGGACTCTTCATCGCTGTCCTCAGCGATGCATAGTCGGTGTACACCGCGAAGGTATCCTCCCCCAACAAGTACACTCTGAACTTGATCAGAGCGTAGCGCATCGCAAGGAGCTCCTTGTCGTGAACAGGGTAGCTGCGCTCCGCCGGCTTCATCTGCCTGGACTGGTAGCTTACGACACGCTCTCGACCTTCTTCATCGAATTGCATCAGCGCACAGCCGATAGCAAAATCGCTCGCGTCGCAGACGACGTGAAAAGGCTTCGAGTCATCCGGGAGCGCGAGGACTGAGGCCTCGGCGAGACTCTTCCTCACCGAGTCGAAGGCGGCTTGATGTGCGGAAGTCCACGACCACGACACATCTTTTTTCAACACCTAAGAGAGCGGCTGGATCAATCCGGCGTAATTCTTCGTGTACTTGTGGAGATAATCTGCGAGACCCAGCCACTGACGCAGTTCAGTGGGATTCTGTGGCGTAGGCCACGCACATATCGACGACACTTTCTCGGGGTCGGCGCGGACGCCGTTCTTGCTAACAAAGCAATCAAGCACCGGAATCTCCGGCGCGCAGAATATACACTTCTTCAAGTTGGCATACAGCTTGTTTTCGCGCATCACTTGGAAGACTTGCCTCAGATGCTTCAAGTGGACTTCAAGCGCGCTGAGGCCTCCCTCAGCGCGACTGTGTACGAAGATGTCATCGAAATAACTCGGTGCGAAATCGCGGAGCGGGCGCAGCACATGGGATACCATGCGATTGAACGTGGCTCCGTCGCTCATCGACTTCTCCGAAGTTGGTTGAACCGCCTCCCGTTCTTTCGTTTGGGAATTGCAAATCTAGTGTTGGTAGCAGTGCAGTATTATTCCTAGAAAGGTACCTCCGACGGCGTGTTGTGCTGCGGGAAATGGCCGCCGAGGAGGTAGGGCTTACGCTTGCGTTTGGTTTAATTCTGGGCGTTTGAGTGTGTCGGTGGGAGATGTTGATGGGGGATGTACGAGATCTGAATCGGGAAGACGCCAAAATCCTCGCCTCGTCCGCGCAGGTAAGCTGTCGGTTTTTGTTTATACTTAGACATGCATGGCTTAATCTTTCACGAGGAGTGTGTTTTCCGAAGATTTGGTGGCCAATAATAGACTGAAGTGAGCACCTTCACATAGTCCACATTGAAGAAAGTGTAGATGAGCTAAGTGCACAGCCAGCTGCCACAGTCTGGAGATTCATGCTT